CTGAAGTCAGGGTCTTCTGGAGAGGACATGGTTTTTGGAAGCAGACAGACTTGGCCTGGCATCCTGGCTCTGTGGCCACTCGCCAGCTGGGTCAGCTTGCAGCAGCTCCTCCACCTCTCTGAGCCTCCATTTCTTAGTCGTTGAAGCAGGTGCAGGAGTCTGCTCCCTACAGAAATGTGCTGAGATCAGGTGCACGCCCAGCTGGCACTCGGACTGGAATGCCGTGGACACTCCCAAGTGACAGTCCCCTCCTTTCTCTCCCTCTCTTCCCCTCTGCCTGTCCTCTCCTGCTCCCGGCCTGACCTGGCTGTCACCCGCTGTGATTCCCTTGCATAGATGCTGAGAGAAGTTGGTGGAACCTGGGTGAGTCCCTGCCCCTGCATCCCCTCTCCCCAATGCCAAAGCTGCAAGAGAAGGGTGTGGGCATAAATTACACCCATCTGTTCCCTCCCTGCTGGGGCAGGCGCAGAGGGGAACACATGGGTCGTGTTGTGCTTTCCGTGTGCAGCTGACAGGAACAATGGGAGGGAAGAAAGTGGGCTTAGTGAGGCACCTTCCCCACCCTGCCTCCATCTCCCATCCTCCCTTCAGGGGGTCCCAGGAGCCAAGTTCTTTTTTTTTTTTTTTAAAGATTTAATTTATTTAAGTCAAGGCTGTCCCTAGATCCCAGTAAGAGGTATCCTGGACAAAGGGAAAGCGCCTATCAGGTCATCACAGAATTTCTGCTTGGTGGAGTGGTGTGCAGACTGCAGTAGCTGGTGTTCTTGGGAGTGGTGATAGCCTTGCCTTCTCCAACACTGTTGGCATCTTCCCGTCTGCTGAATCTGCCCCATCGCCTTTAACCATGTTCAGATCTCTCATCCTAGAGCAGGCCCTCTCTCTACCTCGTGTTTCTGCCAGCCCCAGCTCCACCAGTCTCTGTCCCAGCCCAGTAAGAGTTAGTGTGGACAAGAGCCATCTGTGCTGTGCGGGCTGTCTCCATTTCCTCACCTCCCACCCACCCACTGCTCCATCCACTCCACCTTTGCTGCTTCCCAAGGTTGCCGTGAGCGCCACAGTCCCAAGTCAGTAGAAATTTCCCATTTACTTGATTCGAGTTCTTCAGTGGCGTTGGTTAGGGTGAAGACTCCATGCTGTTAGACACACTTCTCACGCTTTGAGACCTCACAGCTCACGACTTTCCTCCCACAGTATCAACAGCTCTTCCTCAGCCTCCTTGGTTGGTTTTCAGAATCAGCTGCCAGGTCTTCCTGTGCTGGAATTCTCCCTGCTGGGATGCAGGTCTCCTATGATCTTTCTTTTTACTTTATCTCCAGGGTGCCTGATCTACTCCCATAATTCAGTGACCATCTCTACGCTGATAGCTCCCAAAGCTCAATCTTTCTCTAGAGGCTCTAGCTTCAGACTGGTGGAACCAAGAGCATAGCTAACATCTCTACTTGGATGTGGCCCCTACTTCCCAAGCTCAGTCACTGCTCAATGGTTGTCATCCTTCCTCCAATCCCAGTGTCCTCCAGGAAGTGGCACTATCCCACATCTACCAGTGCAGCTCAGAGACCTGGGTCCACCCCTGTTCACCTTTCCCCGTCATCCCTCCACTTCTTAGCACTCCAAGTCTTGCATCTTAGGACACCCTTCAGCCTGAGCATGTTGGGGTGGCTGGTCACCCTACTAAAATCCCTAAGCTAAACCCTAAGTCTCTTCCGTGACTTGAAAGGCCTCACATGATCTGACCCCCGACACCTGACCTGCCTCATCTCACTCCCTTCTCTCTTTCCTCTGTGGGTCCCAGACTCTATTCCTTCCCTACCCAGAGCATTTGTGCATAGCTTTGTTTCCTGTGTCTAGAACATTCTTCCTCCCCTTTTTCTTAGTTCTCCCTTCACCCTTCCACTAGCAGACTAAACATCCCAACCTTTGTTCAACAGAAGCCCACTTTTTTTTTTTTTTAAGGTTTATTTATTTGAAAGGTAGAGTTACAGAGAGGCAGAGAGAGAGAGAAAGAGAGAGAGAGAGGTATTTTATCTGCTGGTTCTCTCTCCAAATGGCCATAATGGCTGGACCTGGGCCTATCTGAAGCCAGGAGCCAGGAGCTTCTTCTGGGTCTCCCATGCAGGTGCAGGTGTTCAAGGACATGACCCATTTTCCGCTGCTTTCCAAGGCCATTAGCAAGGAGCTGGATTGGAAGTAGAGCAGCCAGGACTCCAACCAGAACCCATACAAGATGCTGGCACTGCAGAAGGTGGCTCTATCTGTTGTGCCACAGCACAAGCCCTACAAGTGTTCATTTGCCACTGCACTCCCTGGCTTCTCACAGTATGTGCGATGTGGTCAGAGTGTGATGAGTCAGCTACCTGATGCACCTGCGCTCACTCGGGTGAGCCTGATTGTGAGGCTTTGGCTGAGGAGCCATGTAGATGGGTATGTGTGTTCTAGAGAGAGTATTTTGTTGGCCCTGGGCAAGATGGATTGGAGAATATCTGCCCCTTTAGGGAGTTTGCTTAAGAGGCCTTGGTGGCATCGTGAGTGTGAAAGGATGGGGAAGTGGCTAGTGTTTTGGGGATGCAGCTACATCCTTGCAAGGCAGACTCCTTGCCACTTGGAGTTCAGCTGCATATGGGCAGTGAGGAAGGTGAGAGAATTGTAGGTGTTTCTCAGCTTGGGGGTTTAGAGGCTTGGTTACCTGGTGAAGGGCCACGTGGTTAGGCATGGGGAGTTCTGTCTTAGCCAAAGTAAACATGAGAAATCAGTACACATGACCATGATGATTTCTTGAATGTCTCATCCCCACATTTTTTGTGAAAATTACGTTTTCTTGCATGCTCCTGGGATCCATTTGATCTCTCCTCGCTAACTTCTAGCTTCCTGAAGACAAGAGCAGGACTCTTGGTGAGTCAAGGAGAGACGCACACGGAGTGCTGTCGCCCAAGAAAATGGGCAGAGCTGTGGCCTGGAGGTTGGATGTCTGTGCACCCCACCAGCTCTGGCGAGGTTCTCACGGGCAGGTTCCTGTTCCTCTCTGAACTCCCCCACCTCCACCTCTACAGGAGTCTGGGTGTTTTTTAGTGGTTCTTAACTCTGTCTGGGGAGCTTTAAAAATACAAGTCATCAGTCCGCATTCCCTAGAGACTGAGATTTAGATGAGCTGGAGTGGAAGCCCGGCATTGGAAGTTGGCATTTACTTATTTATTTAAAGCCAGGTAACCCTCAGCTGCAGTCGGATTGAGACCTGTTCCGTGAGATGATCTCGAGACTTTTCTGCCCCGTGTGGGCCCCGCAGCGCCCTGGTTTGACCTGCCTTGCATCTCTTTGCACAAAGTCACCTGCAAGTGCCTCAGGGTCCCAGCTTTGCACTTGGGCTCAGGCAGCGGGCAGTGGGCAGTGGCAGAGGCCGTTTTCAGCCCAGGCAGGGAAGCACAAATGCAAAGTCGGCAGAGAGAGGGGGATGGGGTGGGAGCTCCGTGAAGAGGAACAGATTGAAGCGATTAACATTTGATCAGTTTGCTATTGTTCGTCTGCAGACCACAGCTTATGAGGCTGCTTAATAAATGTCTGGTCCAGATCCAACCCAGAGCCGCCAAGTGGGGGTTGCTATGGTTCCCGAGGAAGTTGTTTCCCACACAAGTGACTGCTTCCCACCCGAACCGTGGAAGACCCGAGACTTCCCTCTGCTCCTCCACTCCAGCCCTTCCCAGATGAGCCTGCGGTGGGAGGGACATCTGCCCAGGGCTGGGACCATCCGCAGGCTCCCGGGGGGAACTGGCCATTGGTGGCATCTGTCTGTGGCAGCTGCTAAAACTGGGCCCTGTGCCTCTTCCCTCTGCCCACTTCCAGGTGGTCCCATAGTTTACTGGTGGTGTCATCTCAGCATCCCAGGTTTCGGGGTTCCCGTGTGGCTCTTGACCGCAGGAGAGGAGGGGTGGTCAGAGAGACTGGGGCTTGCAGGCGTGTGTGTGTGTGTGTGTGTGTGTGTGTGTGCACCCATGCTTGTCAACATGAGTGAGTGTGTGGGTTTTTGTGACTCAACGTGGGTGAGCGGCTGTGTGAATGTTTGTGTCAGTGATTGTGTATACTTGTCAGCGATGGAGTGTGTGCTGAGTGTGCCGTGTTTAAGGATGTGTGTGTGTGTAAGTGGCAAGAACTGGGAGTAAGCGCCAGGCAATGCAGCTACATCTTAAAAAAATGCATTATGACAGATTTACAGCAACTGAAAACACCCATATAAATACCATTCTGTTTAAGAGATAAAACTTGACCAAGACAATTGAAACTCTCAGCTCATTCTTGTTCCATCATATTCCTCTACTCCCTCCCCCTGCCCATCAACCCTATTGCCCATTCGATGTTTACCCTTCCCACAATGCAATTCACACTCTATTTGTTCCACGGGATGGGCTCCTCTCCGTCTTGAATCCTTCTGTGAACTGTCATCAATTAAGTGTGTGCGTGTGTGCGTGTGTGCTTTGTGTGTACAAGCACATGTGTCGGGTGCCTGTGAGGCGATGGGGAAGAGCAGAGAAAATCTGTGACTTTCCAAGTGCTCTTCAAGTGTGGTGGCATCTTCCAGACCCATCACTCAAGGTTAACTCCCTACCCTGGCAGAGCTGTTTCTCATTTGTACATCAAGACGAAGATGAAATGATTGAAGATGTGCCTGAAGAAACGGTACGTAGTTAGCGCTCTACTGCTTGTAACTTTTTTTTTAAAATTTATTTATTTATTTGAAAGTCAGAGTTACACAGAGAGAGGAGAGGCACACACACACACACACACACACACAGAGAGAGAGAGAATTCGTTCTTCCATCCGATGGTTCACTCCCCAATTGGCCGCAACGGCCAGAGCTGAGCTGATCCGAAGCCAGGAGCCAGGAGCTTCTTCCAGGTCTCCCATGCGGGCGCAGGGGCCCAAGGACTTGGGCCATTTTCTACTGCTTTCCCAGGCTACTGCAGAGCTGGATCAGCCAGGTCGTGAACCGGCGCCCATATGGGATGCTTCAGGCCAGGGCGTTATCCCACTGTGCCACAGTGCCAGCTCCTGTAATTTTTTTTTTTTTTAAATCAGTGATTTCAAGGAGGTCAGAAGCCCAGCCAAACTTATATTAAAAAAGCAATCAAATCAGAGTTTGTTCAGAAGAGGTGGAGAGAGGCTAGTTGAAGCTGAAGCCTTTCTTCTTTCATGCTTCCCTCCCTCCTTCCCTCCTCCTCCTCCTTTGCTGTCTCCTGCAGTGTTTTCCTCTTGTGCAGTGTGAAATCGGAATGAGGGCAGGTTGGGGTGTTATAAAGGACTGTAGTAGAAGGTCCCCTGCCTGCTTCCTGCCAAATAAAACTGCATGCAAGGAAGGTGCTTTGAGACACAGCAGGTTTTGAATTCACAGCCATCAGCGTCCATACACATTCCAAACCGACAATGCCTGCATTCCACCCAACCAGGATTCAGGCCTTAGACCCTGCAAGGAAACCGGAGGCCTTTGTTGGTTCATTCATCCATTCACTCGCTCACAGCCAGCTGCATGCCGGATTCGCAAAGGTGGAAAAGTCTCTCATGTAGAAGAGACAGACAACACACAGTAAAAGAGAAGGCATTTGCTAGTGTCGCTGAGAAATAACCAGCATTAACAGACGCACTCAGCCCCACGGCCTTCCCACCGCTCTACAGGTCTCCTCCACGCCTCCATACTGGACCGGGCACAGCTAGGAATGGAGGCGTTGGAGATATGAGTTCTAGCTGGGTAGTGTGAAGACAGGGCACTGCCATACTGGGAGCGCTTGGCCTAAATGAATCCTCCCACAGCCACCGAGACAATAGCATACCCCCATTTCACAGGTGAACAGACTGAAGCTTTGCCTGGGAAACATGCAAGCAGGAAGGTAAACCCAGGTCCTCTGCCTTTCTGGCCCAGCCTGGCCTTTTGAACCTCTTCGATGGCAAGAATGGCAATGTGACGAGGCGAAGGTGGTTTGTAGTGAATAAGAGACCAAGCATCTGACACCGACCCAGAGTGAGATAGAAAGTTCTGGGTAGCATCGGTGTAGGAAAGCTTCCAAAAGTAAGTTGTTTCCTTGGCTTTAAAGGAGTGGCCGTTTTATTCCAGGGACTTCAGCTTTATTCTTTCCTGAGGCTAGGGTTTAAATCATATATTCCTGGGACAATTGTTGAAGGAAGATTCTTGGCGTAAGAGAACGGGGTGAGGGTGGATAATGCTACCTGTCATGGCATAGGAGCTGAAGTCCAAGCTTGGTAACTCTTTCCCACCAGCTCAGAGCTTTTGTGATTTGTTAAGGATAACAGAAACACTTCTGTAGCTCCAGCTGGGTAAAAATATCATGATTGCAAAGGCTACAAACATTTTTAAATTACTTCTTAGTTTTTTAATTAAAAAATGTTTGAGCCCCAAATGATTTCCACAGTTTCCTTCAACGGGGATTAGATCTGAGTTTCAAATTTTCAAAGTTCAACTAGATTGGCGTTTCCTGTGTCCTAAAAATGTCTTCAATTAAAAGCAAGAAAAAAAATGTATTTTTTTTTCATCTTCATCAAGCTAAAAAAAAATGGCTGAAGGGATTTTATTCAAACTTTTCCCCAAAATTCACCTTTTGCCAAGACCCAGCATGGAAAATTTCAGCCCAAAAGGATCACTCATTGGCAAGTTACCCGAGCTAATGAAAACAGAGAGGCATAAAGAGAGCCTGTGTGTAGCTCTAACTATAGTGCTCACTGGAGCCCACATTGTAAGAGAAGAAGGCCTCATTCAATAACCGCCTTTTAAGTCTTTTTTATCATCAATATGGATGAGACTTGGATTTGCAGTGGTCACCAGAGGGAGAGCACTTACTCTGTGAATACAATCTGGGTAATGACATTATCTCAAGTGGAGAAAGGTGGGACTTGCTCCAAGGAGCCTCTGACTCATTCATTCGTCCATTCATTCATTCATTCCTTCACTCCCTGATGTTACATGTGCACTGAATGCCTGCAATGCACTTTAATAGACGATGGGAAGTCTACGGTGGGCCCACATTCATGGGTTATGCCTGGAGGAGAAGGAAACAGATTAAATGACAAACCAGGATAGATTCTGTGGGGCAACAGAGCTGGGTGCAGAGAGAGAGAGAGAAAATCAAGAGTGTTGGTGATAAGGGCTCTGCACCGGTAGGGAGACCAGCAAAGAGCTCGTATTCATTCATCCCTCAGCAAACGTTTAGTGAATGGCTGCCATGCCTCACAGCCTACACTGGGGGTGCACCCACACCAGGGGAGAGCAGGCAGGTTAGCAAGAGCTCCCGAGTGCCCGACAGGCGCTTTAACGCAGTCACGAGCCAGTTCTAATAGGGAGACGGGGTGGGGGCTGCTGACTGTGTGGGGGCTGCCAGCAGTCAAGGAAGATTTCTGTTGGCAGGGACAATGTGACAGACGCCTGTTGAGAGTCAATGTTGGGGACCAAGAGATGAATGAGAACCAGCTGCCTTCAAGGAGGCTGCAGCCCACCCAGTCTTGCTTCCCAGCTCACCTCTTTGAGGGTCTGGAGCCTGTGGTGATGGATCCCACCTCTCCAATAACAAGCGTGGAACTTGACCCAAAAGAAGGCTTAGGGGCTGGCATTGTGTACAGAGGGTTAATCCTCCACGTGGGACACGGGCCTCTTACACGGGAGCGGCAGTTTGAGGCTAGGTTACTCTGCTTCCAATTCAGATTGTTGCTATCGCATCCTGGGAGGCAATGGGTGATGGTTCAAGGGCTTGGGTCCCTGAGACCCATGTCAGGGACTCAGATGGAGTTCTGGGCTTCTGGCTTCTGCCTGGCCCAACCCTGGCTGTTGCAGGCCATTTGGGGAGTGAACCAGCAGACAGAAGATCTCTTTTTCTTGCTCTTTCTGTTATTTAGTCTTTCCAGTCGATAAAAAGAAATTCAATTTTTTAGAAGGGTTTAGTAGATGGTGGATCCCTTGCTCTGACATCTCACGAGGCACCAAGTGGTGAAAACCTTGGCTTTGAGAACAAGAGTGCCTGGCTGTGTTACCATCAGCAGTTACTCTCTGTGTTGTTTTCCCTGCACGCAAGGCAGGATTAATACATACGCTTACCTTCTAGGGTTTCGAAGGACTAGGGGTGATCATGTGCCTCCAGTCACTGTAGGGATGATCAGCACATGTCGTGCTGATAGATTTTTTTTTCAAGATTCATTTAGTTTATTTGGAAGAGTTATAGAAAGAGAGGGAGAGACAAATGGCTACAATGGCTGGGGCTGGCCCAGGTTGAGGCCAGGAGCTAGGAGCTTCATCAGGGTCTCCCATGTGGGTGCAGGGGCCCGAGAACTTGGACCATCTTTTACTGTATTCCCAGGTGCATTAGCGGGGGGCTGGACTGGATGTGGAGCAGCCGTGACTTGAACCAGCACCCATATGGGATGGGGGCACTGCAGGTAGACGCTTAACCTGCTGCACCAGAGCGCCAGCCTGGTCCTGATAGATCTTTAAGTGCAGTCCCTAACTTCCCACCACCTACCTGCTAATTCAGCCTAACAGTTATGGGCTGAGGATGTTTTGTGGCGGGCATTGTGCTGGGGGCTGGAGATTTAGCAGAACCCTGCCACAGATCTGGGAGCCTCCATCCTCATAAGGTGGTTATATTCCAAAATCTCCCTAATGAGAGTTCTTGGCCTCATCCACTGGTATAAAAGGCCATTTGTTATCTTTGTACAAAAAAAAAAAAAAAAAAAAAAAGGCAAGAAAAACCGGGGGTGTCCAGTCATCAGCGCATCTGGCTTTGAGGTGAAAAACTGCCAGAACTTTGGAACTATCTTGTTAGTTTTGACATCAGAAGACAGGGAGATTGCCCATTATTAATTGGAAGTAAAAACTTGGTCGTGGCCCCGAGTAAGGGCAAGGCTGAGATTTCTCAGATCAGTGAAGATTCACCACGGTTGTTTTTGCTCAGTTACTAGTTTTATTTTATTTTATTTTTTATTTGACAGAGTTAGACAGTGAGAGAGAGAGACAGAGAAAAAGGTCTTCCTTCCGTTGGTTCACCCCCCAAATGGCCGCTACGGCCGGCGCTGCACTGATCCGAAGCCAGGAGCCAGGTGCTTCCTCCTGGTCTCCCATGCGGGTGCAGGCATCCAAGCACTTGGGCCATCCTCCACTGCCCTCCAGGGCCACAGCAGAGGGCTGGACTGGAAGAGGAACAACTGGGACAGAATCCGGTGCCCCGACTGGGACTAGAACCTGGTGCCCATATGGGATGCCAGCGCTGCAGGTGGAGGATTAACCAAGTGAGCCACGGCGCTGGCCCCGGTTATTAATTTTATTTAGGGAGCAGGAGGAACTGGAGGAAGGAGGTTCTCACAATGCTGAATCGAGGTAGCCACGTAAATTGCACTTGAGAGGGGCAGCGCATCCCTGGGGGGGGGGGTTAGTCTGCCTCAGCCTCAGTTTGCCTCTGTGTAAGATAAGGACAACCAAAGCAGCTGGGTAGGGGCCGGGCTGAGGCTCAAGTGAGGGCATGAACTTGGTAACACGCAGGGCGAATGCGGTTCACCGTGGGTTTGCTCCTGGGATCTGGGACATGAGCTCAGTCAGGACTCAGCAACACTTCCTCCTTTTCTGTTTTCTGGGTGCCTGCCTAAGCCGGAGGTGGTGGCAGCCTTCAGGGGCTGGAGGGAACCTGACCAGCCACTGTCCTCTGAACCCGGGTTTGTCCTGGGTATTCTCTGTTTTCTTTGGTGCACTTGTCTTTGGTAAAGACTTCTCACCCTGCCATATGTGCCCAAACTTTGCAACGGGCAGTTGCAAGAGAAAAAGCAGGTGGAGAAAGGGAACTGGACTTGGTGAGTCTGGGGTCTGGCTGGAGCCCAGCGACACTTTAAGCGGCAGCTAGTTACAGCCCTGTCCCCAGACAGGGGCCCTGGGTCCCAACCTCAGCCTCAGGGCCCCCGAATCCCTCTTTTTCCTCTCCAGGGAGTCAGGACTTCAGAACGCAGGCCCAGCCCTGCAGGCTCCGGCCAGCCTGCTGCGGACTCGCCTGGCCCGGCCTCCCCAGGGCTCTGCGAGGCTCGCGCGCGCCTGGGTGGGCCTGGGTCCTGGGGACAAGGTCAAGGTCGAGGTCGGGTTGGGCGGCGCTGGCGCTTGGCACCGGCGCTGGCGCTTGGCACCGGCCCTGGCCCCTTGCACGCACGCAGCGGAGCGCGCGAGGCCTCCTCGCAGGCCGCGCCGCCGGCCGGTCGGCCGGGGGAACTGATCCGGCCGCGTGTGAGCGCCGGGATCCCTGCTCCGGCCTTAAATATGCCGGTTATTTTTATCCCCCTACGTCAGGCGGCCAAGGCCATCCCCCCGGCGGCCGCGGCGGCTGCTGCACAATGTTTCCCTTTAGTCGGGAGGGGAAATGGAGGGAGGCCAGACTTCCTGATCACATGGTGCTGAAGTCAATGAAAAAAAATTAAGGGGGACCCCTCCCTTTTTCTTCGGGGCCCGGTCCAGACCCCCTCCTTCCCAGCTCCCCGCACCCACCCCCGCCGGGCTCGGCGCGCGGAGCCTCGCAGGCAGGCCCGGGGCCAAGCGGGCGGCCGGCAGAGCAAACATAAACACGAGATTGTTGCAGTAATTGGTGGCTCTGCGCACACCGAGGAAATGAGAGGCTTGTACGAAACATCAGCCGACAAGAAACGGGGTGATGTCAGACAGCCTTCCAGGATTAGAAACCCTTAAAAGCTCCGAGCCCGCGGCCCGCCGAGAGCGGCTCGGCTCTCCCGGTAGGAAGCGGGGATTTCGCGCGCTCTCCTCTTCCTCTTTTCCTCTTTGTCTCTCTCCCCCTCCCGATTTATTCCTCCCTCCCTTCCCTTTCTTGCTGTCTCTCTCCTCTCTTTTCCTCTTTCTTCTTTCTTCTCTCGCTTTTATTTCCTTTCCTTTTTTTTTTTCTTGAATTAAAATGAAAGGGAGCAGCTACGTCGGACGGCTTCCATTGCTTTTCTTTCTCTTTTCCTTGCTTTGAGCCCCCAAAGCGGACTTGGATTCTACACCACCCCAGAGTGACACGGGTGTCTGCCGCCCGGCGG